ATATAACATTGATGTATCATTCGTTCGTGCAAGTTATGGTTGTATAATTTCTTTTGTTATACAAACGTCTGAAATTATATGGTTTATTTGTTGTTGAGTTTTTTGTAAATTAATTAAAATGGGTGATTTGTCACTTATTGGTAATTCCGTGGTAATTTGATTTAATGTGGGTGAAATTTGTGAAATTTCGTGCATTTTTTGAATTGAAAATATAGTTTTTTCTTGTGTATGTGTGGATATTGTTTCTAAACTTTGTGGTTGGACAATTTGTTGTTTATTTATATCCTTACAATACGAACTTTCATTTCGTTTATCAACATGGATGTTATTATTTAACAATAAAGAAACGGGTAATTTAGTTTGTTGTTGAAATTGTTTAAATATGTTAAAATCAGGAAGTAATCTTTTTGATGATTTAATTTTTAATGGTAACCTTTTTTCTTTATTGATGTGATGAAAAAACCCATATTTCATTTTGTTGTAATCAAATATAAAGGTTCTACCAAAACTCTTATTAAAGAAACTTGAGGTCTCATGGTTTTCAACAAATTTAAGATAAATTATAGTTAATTGTTCTGTTTCATTTGTTGTTAAATCATTATTAATTTTCTTTTTGAAACAACATTTGTGACTACTTTTGTTGTGACGAAGCATCCAACAATTGTCATTTAAACAGATGCAGTATTGTCGTTTTTGGAATTCAACAAAAGCATAACCATCGACTAGACCAAAAGTTTCTTTTGAAAAATTCAAAGTTGTATCGAGTATATGTAACATGATATTTACAATTTATAATTCAATAACTTTATTTTTTAAGTTTTTAAAATAAGTAACAATTGTAAAACATTTGTGTTACTTTTTCAATATTCAGAATTATATTTTTGGTCAATTGTATTTTGATAATTACCAATATATAACAAAATCAATATTATTGGATGTTTTTTGGTTTACATTTGTATAAAAGTTTATTTTTTATAAAGTTTATATATATTTGTAACATGTATATATTTTTGTTTTGATTTTTAGTTGTTGTGTATTTGGCAAAAAATGTAATACAGTAAAACCTCTCATTAGTAGATTAAACGGTAAAATAGAACCCCCAATATTGTTTATGATTTTTATATTTTCCTTTTCCCCCAATAAGTGTTTTTTATTTTGATTGGTTAAAACGTCTCTTAATGGGGGGTCTTCTTAATGAGAGGTTTTACTGTAATAGAAAATTCTTTAAATAGATGGATTTTGTGTTTTTTAATTTAATTGATTTACTCAAACTCTTTTTGTCATGTTTTGAAACGAATTTGAGGGTTTTTTCAAACAAAAAATACAACATCACTGTTTATTTGGTTTTAATTTGATTTGTTTTTAATTATATATATAATATTAATTGTTATAAAAACATACTTTGTAGAAAATTAAATATTGTTGTTAACAATATACTTGACTTTAATTCACATATACTTGATATATAATTTATTATTAGTCTTAAATTGAATTGTATGCCAGACAAATGCTTAATAAAACATAAACACTTAAAATACAGCACTTATTTTTGTTTTGGCCTGTTTTTACAGGGATATTAATTCAATTGTGATTTTTATTCAATTTTGGCTTGTGTACTGTTTATGCACATACATTTAAATTTAAAACCTCATACACTTATTTAATAAACTCAAAATTTCCCGATTTTTAGACCTACTTAAATATTATTTCAATGTTATTTTAGGTGTCAATAAAAAACACATTTTTGTTTACAATAGTTATAATTTCAAGTTTGAAATGAATATAATTATACTATCAACAACACATTTCAAGTGTTCTATTTCAATTTTAAACAAAAACAAGTGAAACATTTCGGGAAAAATTCAATATATTAATTCGTTGTATTGGTTTTTAACCGTGCTTATGATTTTTCGTTTTGTACTTAAATTTCAATTGTTTTTGTATGTTTTTAAAAGAAAAAAATAAAAAT